GCTCTGCGTGCTGCCCACGCAAAGAGATGCTGCCAAACCCAGTGGCATAAACGAGCTGTCTGAAGTCCTTCAGACCCTTCTTCGAAGTGGCTTTAAACATCAACTGTTAGAAGCCTGTGTTCTAAGACTGTTGGCTAACATAGCTACCGTGGCAACAGAGGAACCTGCTGTCATAAGCAAGGAAGGAGTTAAAGGTATACAAACCCAAAAGGACCTATGCCTTTATTTTCAGTTATTTTTTGCATTACTGCGACCAAAATACATATTCAGAACAACTTAGAGGCGATACAGTTTATTTGGGGCTCAGGTTATCAGAGGTGTCAGCATATGAAAGGCCACCTTCTTTGCTCTGGGTCCACATTGAGGCRGCACATCATGGGGACAGGGCCCAGGATAGGAGAGGTACTCTACTGATGATGGGTTAGGAAGCTGACAGAGAGGAAGGGGCCCCAGGAAGAATAGCACTCTCAGGACACCCCTTCAGTGACCCACCACCTMCAGCTTTGACACATATGTGATATGTTTCTATGTGTCCTCTGCTGGGATCCTAGCATAAGCCTCTCTCTACAAGAAAACTGAATTAAATATTGCTAAGACTTTGCTTATTTTAATTTTGTCTTTGATTTTGGTACAGCTTTGATTCTTATTTTCAAATTCAGTGTTTTGTATTAGTTTATTTTCCTCTGTTTTTCAGATTTATGGATGTGCCTAAATTTTAGTTGCTTAAGGTACATAAGAAGGTATAAAAAACAACCACACATGCAGAGTACTATTGTAATTTCAAACTCCAGTGGACACACTGGAGGTCATTACTGGATCTGTCAGTAGGAATCTGGAAGCAAATAATCACTTTATAAATGTTTGGTATGATTCTGAAATTGCTGAATGTGCTGTATCAAATTGAATTGGTATATCTTATTTATTACTGGGGCTAAGAAGCAGTTGTCTYAATGTTGTCACTGAAGAGAATACATTGTGGCTAGCAGATTATTGCCTATATGGATCAGGGCTTTTCAGGCTAACTGCTCCCTGCAAAGGTCTCTATACTGTAGGCATTGGCAAGGTTGGGTCCCTCTGAGAGGAATGAGGTAAGGATTTGTTCCATGAGTCCCTCTTTGGCAGGTGGATSGCCCAAACTTCTGCTGTACATGTTTGTTTCTTGTCCAGATTTCCCTCTTTTATAAGGATTCTAGTCATGTTGGACTTGGGCCCACTACCGTGGTTTTATTTAACCTAAATGATCTCTTTAAATACTGTTCAAAAAAGGTCACTCTCTGGGGGACTGGGGTTCAGCACTTCAATATACAAATTTTGGAGGAATAGTTGAAACCATATCTCTGTCTATAGACAAGCCTCAACACAGATTAGCCTCAGAAATCTAGCTATACTTTTTTTGGAATCTTCTATGAATCAAAAAAAGAAACCTGTAAATGAGTTGAATTTTAACCTTTTGCCAGACCCAACAGAGTATTGGCTCTGCAGTCAGCTGTGTTCTTGTTCTTTCTCATTTATTCTATGAATTATTGAGCCCAAAAGTGTTAGAATGAAAACAAATACAAGACTACTCCTTTTCACCCCAAGTCTGTGTCTGACATTCCAAGTTCTGAGGGTTTAAAACAGAGCATGTTGCTCTGTAGTGTATTTTTACTTGACACCTTATTTGAGTTCCACCATTCTTGCCTCATTTTTTGYATGTGCTTTGTTTAGCAGAGTGGTTTTGACATTTATACTCTTTAGTGTTTTGGACTGACTGTCCCAAGAGCTTACAGYTGCCTTTTCTGGCAGTGACTCTGTCAGAGATGTTGAAGGATAGTTTCCTTTTCTCCTCTGGAACCTTCCCAGATTTTGGAAGATTTAGGCATCTGCCAAGCCTCTCTCTCTGYAGCGCCTTGGCTTCTGTCATGCTCATATGCCCCATCTATACTATTACTTTTTTTTGGTGGGAGTGTGTGTGGCAGGGATTTGATTCAGGGGTACTTTACCACTGAGCCACATTCCCAGCCCTTTTTTATTTTTTATTTTGAGACTGTCCTCCTAAATTGCTTAGGACCTTGCTAAATTGCTGAKKCTGCCCTGGAGCTTGTGATCCTCCTGCCTCAGGCTCCTGAGTTGTGGAGATTATAGGGATCATCATTGTGCCMAGATCCCATCTGTACTTTTAAACTTGCCACTCCCTGTTCCCAAGTGTGTSGGTGTTAGTGTGACTACTAAATACCTTAGGCTTTTGTAGCCAGAAGCCAGGTAGAATGAAAGCTTTTTTTCTCTTCTAAATAAGTGAGTTTTGTCTCCCCTCAGGTATATGCCAAATTAACAGCATCTGTTAATAAAACCACCCATCCCTGCAGGAAATTGAATTTAGAGATAATCATAGATAATGCTCTTCCCCTTGGTTATCATTGTCTCCAAACCTCTAACAGTGTGGAAGGAGGCAAAGATCAAGTATCCTTTCCATTTGGTGTGAAAGACTCTAGTAACCTTTATTACTAAGACAAAATAGAATATTAAAACATTTTCATTTGGGCTGGGGATTTGGCTCAAGCAGTAGCGCGCTCACCTGGCATGCGTGCGACCCGGGTTTGATCCTCAGCACCACGTACAAACAAAGATGGTGTGTCTGCTGAAAACTAATAAAATAAAATATTAAAATTCTCTCTCTCTCTCTCTCTCTCTCTCTCTCTCTATCTATCTATCTCTCTTAAAAAACATTTTCATTTAACAGGATATATATGCATTTTTCTGAAATGCAAGATCAGTTCTCTGTTGCTTCATTACACAGTTAATTCAGCTCTCTTCCTTCCCACCCTCACCCATACTGAATACTTTGTAAATTAGGCTTTCTCCACAGATAGGGAACTCTGGTTAGCTTAGGGATCCCCCTCTGCTTTCTTCCTTCTCTTAAGGAAAGGCACCCATGGGGGAGTTCACATGTGGAACTTGAGTCACCTGACCCCTTACTGATCAAAAGAAATTTACTGGATGAGAGTAGGTTTCTCTGTCAGTGTATAAGGACTGGATTGCTTGGTTAAAACAGGCTTTTCTGCCATTTGCTAGCCATTTGCAAGGAAGTGAGCTACATTTTTAACAAAACTAAAATGCAGGGAGGGGATCAACCATTTCACCCGGTCTGTATTTAAAACAGTTTTTTCTCCACAAGTTCTGCCTCTGACATGTCTCTTTATTTACAGAGCCTGAAGTTATTGGGTGTACCTGAGCAGAGAGGAAGGCCTGGGACCCCTGTGTCCAGAGGAAATCAGGTAACTTGAGATGCTTGCCTAGATTTRGGTAATTCTAGTATCAAGGACCAAAACCCTCCATAAGTTACACTCAGCCTGACAGCCATGTCTTGACTTTCTACTGCAGGAAATCCTGGAGGAGAACAGGGATTCCCACAGAACTGGGTAGCTAGKAGAGGAGCCTCACCTTCCAGCTTCCACCTGGTGAACTAATTTTTCTGGCATCTGGCCTCTTTGAAAGAAAAAAGCCCAGKGGATTCCTTTCAAAATACAGTTTCTGAATTTTCTAAAATACTCTTTCTAGAAGAAATGTAGCAGAGCCTAGATATAAGGATGTTTTCAAAATTTCYACCTACAGACTTGGAACATCAGACCCAGGATAATTTTTTGGTCCTGSACATTAGCCCTGTGAGCTTGTTTTCCAGGACTTATGAACTGCTCTTGGGTGTAGTCTCACCTCCCTCTGGCTGCCAATCTTCTTGAAATAGAAGACCATTGAACTAACTCCTATTTTCTTCTTTTGGGCTGATAATGAACTCACCCTCCCCATACACTTTAATATAGCTCTGTTCCTTGGACCTATATCTCAGGTGTATAGCATCCTATGTRGCTACTTTAGGTCTAATATTTCTTCCTGTCCTTTGGTAACATGGTTTTAGCAAAGATTTATACCAAGCAGCTATTCCCAATTTCCATTCCCATCATGGTAGCAAGACTCCCTTGCCTAAGACTTGTTTAGCTTTTTGAAATTAAGTGTTTTGAAGGTTTATTTTCAACAACTCCACAATGACAGTTGCTATTTATTTATTTAACTTAAACAGAAGAAAACATCCAAGTGCTGATGAAAAGGAGGAAAAGGTGGCATTTGCTAGCTACATGTTAGTTAGTGGAGTGACTGTTTTCTGTTTGTCAGTCTGAGAAACCCATCTTGGTTTGGTTCATAAACCCAATGAGTGAATCATTAATAGGAGAACCAGCCACACAACACTGTTGCTCCTGCAGGCAGATCCSTGTAAGGTCTGGGGCTTGTGGTCCTCAGCTCCAGCAGCTTACCACTTCTTTCCACTCGAGATTTTTAAGGCATCGGCACATTTTACATATCTTAAGATCCTGTTATTCAACTCTATTTCCCAAATCCAGCGAATTTGGCAAGTTATTTAAAAGATTCCTACRATTGCGTGTTTGCAGAAAGATCTGAGAAGCAGAAAATGGTACTCTGACTTTGGCCTAATGAGTAGAGGGTCAAAGATAAACATCAAAAAGACCATAATCATGCATGTAAAGTACATGTCCATACTCAGCAGAGGGGTGGGTAGAACTGGAGGACCAGTTTAACTCCCAATTGTATCATTCCCACAAAATGGGAATAAAAGATGGGAAAAAAATGATGTCCCCAGGCCAGAATTGGGGACCATCCACATTTCAGTTCCTGCTAGAGTCTTCCCCAGATATCCTGGTGACTTCAGCTGAGACCTAGGCCCTTTCCCCATAGCAGTGGCCAAAGATGTGTCTCCCAGGATAAAAGGTATCAATAGGCAGAGTTTGCACAAAAGAAACAATTTGTAGAGGATATTTAACTTGTCCATACCTGAGCTGATTCTTCTGTAAAAAGAGATCAATAATAATGTTTTCTCTGAATCAGTTGGATGATTACATTTATAAGTTGTTGTTCTTTTTTTTTCCCTCCTTTCCCTCCCTGTCTTTCTTCCCCCTTTTTCCTTTGTCTAACCTTAACTTTATGATTTTGAAGCAGAATATAGAGTAGGATAGTAATTTTTTTTAAATCTAGTTATTTCTGTACCTCCTTCCGCAGATTTTCAGAGCTCTCTTTCAAACGTACATATTGCATATCCCACTGATGAACATTTAGGTTGTTTCTAGTTTTTTGTTTTTATTTGATACCCTTCTCTGCCATTTTGAAGTCATGTGATCTCTTTGAGTGATGCTGATCATTGATGGCATTTTTTAGGTGATGCTTGAATGGCAGCTGAATTAGTGTGGGCTATTGAGCATGAGAGGATGAAGCACAATGTAGGAATTATTTGCTTCAAGAGTATAATTGCCAAGAGTCAGAGTTAGATCTGTAGATTAGAAAGGGTGAAAGGAAAGTGTTTTTAGGTTCAGAATATTTGCCTTATGTGTATTGGTTGAGCAGAATGGAATAGAGAAATGGAAGAGATTGAAGGTATGAGATCAAGGGAGTACTTGTTCAAAGGTCTAGGTTCTGATCAAGAATAAAAGAACAAGGGCTGAGAGTGTAGCCCAGAGGTAAACCATTTGCTTAGCATGCKTGAGGCACCCATTCAATTCCTACACGCAAAACAAAACATACAAACAAGAAGAATAAAAGAGGCAAGTATGTTTACATAGGAACTTTAGACAGTGGAGACTTCCTCAGGATAGTCTATGATATCCTCAGGATGATAAAATATGGAGTAATCTGCTGAGCTTCCGAATGGACAGGAATAGGGATATGTTAGGGGAGTGTTTCATAGGAATTTTTAGAGATAGCTATTATGAGAAATGTGTCTGGGAGGGATCTGATGATGAATCAAAGTATTCTTAAGAAACATCAAGTGTCCAGTCAAGATTAGATACCAGGCATTTGAAGGTGGAACCAACCCAAATTTTCTCTAGGTGTGGTTGGTTCAGTTAAATCAAGACACAATAAGGAGTTTCATGAGGAAAAATAAACCTTTGTATTAGTATACTTGGCAGAAGGCAGAAATTGAAGCATCCTGAGATGAATATAATTCAAAGACATTCACTGCAGATGTCATAAACAGCAAAAATATGAACCCTGAGGTGCTGGGTTTGCGTCTCAGRGGTAGTGCACTTGCCTAGAATGCACAATGCCCTGTGTTTGGTCCCCAGAATACAAAATTCATCCATCCATACATACAGACTGAGTAACCAGTGTTAAATGGGAGTGCTTGAAAATGGGTACAGTGCCATGACATATAGTTTTCATCTACAAGATCCAAATATTTTCTTCAGGTTTTAGTATGAAGGATGATGGGGTGGTAACTCACCCTGGATGGTGCTTTTATTGTTCCTTTTGCTTCCTTGCTTATTATGCTCAGAATTGAGTATGATCAGTTGCCTCAGTAAAATGGCCATTCCATCMTCTGGAATAGCATAGGCCCCTATTCTTGAGTCTGTCCTTTCTCTTAAATCCTATATCAATTTTTGTTAGCTTTTCCAGCAAAGTATACACCATGTGAGAAATGTTGATACCTTGTTAGGTGATGTAGTACATAGTTGAATACATTTGTCAGAATTCATTGAATACTACAGTTAAGATCTGTGCATTTCTTTGTAAATTATTAATATATATTATGTATAAATCACATATATTACTATGTGTAGGAAAAAGCATTTTATATTCAGTTCATATATACTTATCTCCCCCCTAGTATATTCACACATATACACAGGCAGGATCTAATCATTTATCATCTGTGCTATCACCATCCTGATCTGAGACACCTCTCATTTCAATTATTGCAATAGTTTGATAATTGTTCTCCATGCTTCTATMTTTACTGCCCTCACAGTGTGTTCTTAGGAGTGATACTCTATTTCAAACAGAATTTGTGTCATGGCATTCCTCAGCTTAATAYCCTCCCATGGCTTTTATCTGTGTGACTAAATTAAATTATTGCCATGGCTGTGAGTTCCTAACATCCCACAACCTTACCACTTCCCCTGCTTCCCGCTCTGTGTCCTCTGTGCCTGTGGGTCTGCATTCTCTGCAAATCCTTGGACTATTGACCTTCCAGTCTGCTGACCTCAGATATCAAATACATCAAACTTTTCCTGCTCAGGKTCTTTTCAATTACTGCTATTTCTACCTAGAAGCTTTTCCCAGATAGGAGGCTTTCTCCCTCTTCCTTTAGGACTTTCATCAGTGTCACTTGATCATTGAGGCCTTCCCTGATTTTTGTATTAAAAGTTTTAATTCAGCCAATCTTTTTCTTTACAGAGAGCCAGCACAATGTATATAGTTAGCCAAAATGAGGCTTCAGATCCACTTTCTAGTGGTGTGAGGTCTCCTCTCTGCATCTCAGTCTTATTAGCTATAAGGTGGAAATAAATATTGTGTCATGTAGGGTATTATGAGTATTCAATGAATTGGTGTATGGAAAGTGCTTACACAGTGCCTGATACATAATATACCAATGATATTTCAATCTCCCTTCCTTGTTCTATTATTTTCCTCCAAGCTTTGATCACTCTCTGTGACCTACATATTAAAACTATTGTTTATGGTTTCTTGCCATTGATAAATAGGCTTCATCAGAGCCACAACTTTTCTTTGACTTTTTCTAATTTTCCTCTCTRTTTCTTTTCTTTTTCTCCCTTCATGGCTATACTCTCATTACTTAGAATAGTGATGCTGTATAATAGATAATAAACCCTGTTCATTCAGTGATTTAATGAGAGAGGGGTCTGCATGCTTTCAGGAGGCCAAAGGATAGTTAGGGAAGGAGTGGGATCTTTCTCTGCCTAGGCTGGATGACCAGTGCTTTAGGTGTGGTGGATTACAGTTGCTTACTGCTGCCACAGTGTGGTAGCTGCCAAAGATGTGTGAATAAACAGGTGTGACTGTGTTCCAGTGGAATCTGACCAAAAACAGGCCATAGTTTGTCAACCCTGGAGTTCGGGAATCATTTTTGTCCTTGTTTTACTGATTCTCATTATTCCTGCTTTAAGCCCACTCCCAACTGTAGCAACTTGTGCTTTTCACTCAGAAGTGAAATGGTAATATAACTTGAAAACATTATATTACCCATTATTGCTTGGCCTATTTCCCATTAATTGTACAAAATTTGCATATGCCTACTAATATGTTAATAGTAAATAACAAGTTAAAAACATATTGTACTTTTAACAATATAGTTTCAAGTCAGTTTTCCCCCCTACAACAGCTGAAAACACTAATCTGGACTCATGTTTCTGGCCAGAATCATGTAGGCTGTAAAAATAAAAGAACAAGGAATGTCAGCATTCTACTTACC